CCAAGGAGGCCTGCGCTGCGGCTCGTGCCGCACTTCCGCCGCCCACCCTCCCCGGCCGCCCCGCGAGGCATGTCCTCACATCCACCCCCCCCCCGTCTTCCTTCCCACTCCTTTCCGGTTCGGGCCCGTGCGTCTGGCGCACAACCCTTGCCACTGCACCTCTGTGGCGCTCGACTTGCGACCACAGCTGATCACGCTCACAGCGGCCTTTCCAGCGCCATCACCTCGACCAGAAAAGCAGAGCCCAGGCTTCAAGACTCCTCGGCAGGTGGGCAAGAGTCTGGCTCCCGTGGATGTGCTCTTCATTCCCTGCCTCCATGGGAACGACGAGGATAACACAGAGGAGCTGCTGGCAGTGGGGAAGAGCCCGATTCGGATTGGCTTCCCGTTGGCCACAGGGGCGCCCGTAGGCCGTCGAGTCTATTGGAGACACACCGGTGCCTCAGAGGCCCAAGAACTGGAGCAGCAATCCTACTCCCATAATCCCCTCGGCCCCAGGGCGCCTCGGCCGTGGGAATCAACCAGAGGACTCAAAATCCTATTTTGATAGTCGCTGGCCTCGGGGGTGCCCTTGGGCCGTAGGAACTGTGGGAAATGCGCGCGCCCAAAAAGGCCAGAAACTGGAGCACCAGTGTACGGAGTGCGGCATACGGGGGTTGCGGCTTACTATGGGGCGCAATCCACGCAGCGAGATCTAAGGCGTGAAGCCTATGGGGCGAAATTGCTTTTGGCCGCGTCCGCGCGTGACCACCTCCAGCGCTTCTGCAAAACCCAGCCCACACGACGGTGGGGACGATGCCGACTAAGATGATGTTGATTGTGATGAGGCCCATGGAAATAAGAATGACGGTGGCAACGTCGACGCTGGTGATTCTGCTGACGATGGTGCTGGTGAGAACGATGACTAAGTATGTAGGCGCAGAAAGTTGAACCAGGGAGCGGCATCGACAATGACAATGGTGACGGCAGCGATGATGGTGACGACGATGGTGATGATGATGATGATGATGATGATGATGATGATGTTAATGATGATGATGATGATGATGATGATGATGATGATGATGATGATGATGATGATGATGATGATGATGATGATGATAATGATGATGGTTATGATGATGGTCATGACGATGATGATGATGATGATGATGATGATGATGATGATGATGATGATGATGATGATGATGACGATGATGATGATGATGATGATGATGATGATGATGATGATGATGATGATGATGATGATGATGATGATGATGATGATGATGATGGTGACGATCACGATGGCACTTATCACGCTGCAGATGACGAGAACAAGTGTACCGATGATTGCGATGATGAGGTGTGCACCCATTGAGTCCCCTATCCCTGCCATATTCGCATTGGCATGCCATTGGGTTTGCCTATGTGTGTTTGAACACGTCCGCGTCGACGTCGCAGCTACTGCTGCTGGAAGGATGTCGGCGTGGGTGCTCGGAGACGCGCGCGCGTGGCCCGAACTTGTATCCCTTGACAAAGTTGGCCGGCGTGCGCGCGTGGCCCGCATGGCCCCATGGTGGCAGAACTGCTAAACTTTTTTGATCCGCGGGTCGAGAGCGAGCCTCTTCCGGTCGAAGCTAAGCGGGCCGCGCACAGCTTTGATCAACAGGGGAAGGAAAACAGAAGGAGGGGCCTCACGTCAAGGCCAGGAGAGGGCAAAGCCCCGGGATCAGGCGGTGCCGCAGAACTGCTAAACACCAAAGTATGTCTTGTGAGTCTCACGGCGGTGCCTCCAGAAGTCTGGCAACTGCTTGCCGAAGAACAAACGGATGCTTGCTAGCTGTAGGACGCTATGTCTTGACATTGTCCTGAAAACCACTGGATCGCGAACGCGCAGGTGCCCAGCATCGTCCGCACTACATCTGCAAGGGGACTCTCAAATAAATGCATGCATGTGCACCGCATACTTTTCGTCAGGAGTGCAGGATAATCGATTCCTGCCTGGATGGCACTGCGCGCGCGCTTCGAGCGCGCGCTCAAGTTCTACCTAGGCTGGATGGTCGATTTTTGTGGATCACTATTTTGTGATACTTCATCTCTGGGGCTTCCAAGGACCACAAAGACGGCCCAAGTGACTTCCAAGACTTCTACGGTCCACCCACGGCGGCCTGAGACAGGCCCAAGAGGCGCTTCGGGGCCCAATTATCCGCCGAGGCTGGACGTAGCCGGAGGAGGAGGGAGGAGAAGGGGAGGTGAAGGGGTCCCCTGGGGAGAAGCGGAGGATGAGGAGTTGGAGAGGGTGGAGGAGGCCGCAGAGGAGGAGGAACAGAGGGGGAGGAAGAGGAGGAAATCTGATACTTCCTTTTTCGCAAGCGTAGCCAAGCTGCCAGCTGAACTTGGAAAAAGGGCAAATGGAGTTCCCTGTTTTCCCAACCTTCCTGTGGTGTTGGGTCCTCGTTTTGATAAGACAGCGCCCCGCGTCTCCTCTCCTCCTTTCCTCCTCTCCTCTCCTCCTCCCTCCTCCCGCCCCTCCCATCCCTCACACGTTTCGTGGCCCCACAGAGGGAACTCCACCGAAGGCCCCAGTGGCAAAATTCTCATGGCGGCCCCGCCCCCATTTCGGCACACCCCTCACACGTTTCGTGGCCCCATAGGGAGCTCCACCGAAGGCCCCAGTGGCACAATTCGCATGGCGACTCCGCCCCCATTTCGGCACACCCCTCGCAAGTTTCGTGGCCCCAAAAGGGAAATCCACCAAAGGCCCCAGCGGCAAAGTTTTATGGCGGCCCCGCCCCCATTTCGGCACACCACCCCTCACACGTTTCGTGGCCCCACAGAGGGAACTCCACCGAAGGCCCCAGTGGCAAAGATCGCATGGCGGCCCCGCCCCCATGTCGGCACACCCCTCACACGCTTCATGGCCCCATAGAGAGCCCCACCGAAGACCGTAGCGGCAAAGTTCGCATGGCGGCCCCGCCCCCATTTCGGCACACCCCTCACACGTTTCGTGGTCCTATAGGGAGCTCCACCGAAGGCCCCAGCGGCAAAGTTCGCATGGCGGCCCCGCTCCCATGTCGGCTCGCCTTTCACACGTGTCGTGGCCCCACAGAGAGCTCCACCGAAGGCCCCAACGGCAAAGTTCTCACGGCGGCCCCGCCCCATTTCGGCGCACCCCTCACACGTTTGTGGCCCCACGGGGAGCGCCACGGGAAGCTCTTGGGACCTCTTGAGGCCTCCTGGGGGTCTCCTAGGGCGAAAATCTCGGGTTCTCGGTTCACGTTCCCGATCCTGGGCCACGCTTGGGGCCCTCTCGGGCCGTTTTGGACGTCTCTTCGGCCGTTTTGGAGCCGTCCTGGCGCGCTTTTGAAGCCTATTGGGCCGTCTTGGAGCGATCCTCGGGGCCTCTTGGGATGTCTTGCAGCGTCGGGAAGCGGAACAGACGGAATCGCCAAAATTGCTCAAAACCCTTGGGAATAACTATCAATGTGTTGCTGGCCTCGTCGAGCTCTCTTGGGAAACTTCGTGGAGGCCTCTTGGGAATCTTGGGGGCCTCGCGAGCCGTCTGGAGGCCGTCTTGAGCTTCTTGGACCGCCTAGCGGCCTTCGGCCTATCCCGCCACCGGGCCTCTTGGAAGTTCGTGTGGATATCGTGGGGGTGCCTCTGGGAGGCCTCTTGGGCTCTCTTGGGGGCCTCTTGGGCCTCCAGGGGGGCTCGTGGGGCGGAAGGCTCGAATTGTCGGTTCGTGTTCCCCCTCTTGGGCCCCTCTTGGGGCCGTCTTGGGGCCCTCCTGAGCGATCTTGGGCGCCTCTTGGGCCGTTTTGGGACCCTCTTGGATAGTTTTTTTTTTGCAGTCGGCGGCCTTGTCATCCGAATCGACAACTGTTGGGGCGAGCTCGGGCAAGAGGCCGGCCACGTCTGCAATAGACGAGCTATGTACATACGAAAGCTTGGGAAGGTCATTGCGTTGGGTATTGGGGCCGTCTGTGGGGCGCCTTGGGGGGTATCATGCACGCCGCAGAGCGCCAGTACCGACGCTACGAACATCGTGACCCTGCAGCTAGCCAAAGAAGAAAGGGAGGGAAAGGGCGGGAAGAGCGCGGAGGGAAGTAAGAAGGATTGACGAGAAGACGGCGGTCCGGGGGAGAGCTGGCAGCCTTGCTTATGCTCGGGGCGGCCACGCAAGAAGAACAAGAGATTGGTGCCGTGCGCGAGCACGACCGCAACGATGCTCGCTGGCGACCCTGCCCGTGCTCGGGGCACCAGGCGAGGAGGAAGGCAGACGCGGAGGGAGGCCGACGGGCATGAAGGCGGCGGCGGGGGAGGACGTCGCTTGTCGTCCGTCACCCCCCCTCCCCATGTGTATAGACGTTTGGGTGATGCCGACGCCGCGCCTCAGATGCACGCGAGACTTGGCCCCCGTGGGTGCCGCCTCCTCCTCCTCCTCCTCCTCCTCTCCTCCTCCTCCTCCTCCTCCTCCTCCTCCTCCTCCTCCTCCTCCTCCTCCTCCTCCTCTCCTCCTCCTCCTCCTCCTCCTCCTCCTCCTCCTCCTCCTCCTCCTCCTCCCTCCTCCTCCTCCTCCCTCCTCCTCCTCCTCCCTCCTCCTCATCCTCCTCCTCCTCCTCCTCCTCCTCTCCTCCCTCCTCCTCCTCTCCTCCTCCTCTCCCTCCTCCTCCTCCTCCTCCTCCTCCTCCTCCCTCCTCCTCCTCCTCCTCCTCCTCCTCCCTCCTCCTCCCTCCTCCTCCTCCTCCTCCTCCTCCTCCTCCTCCTCCTCCTCCTCCTCACCCCTCCTCCTCCTCCTCCTCCTCCTCCTCCTCCTCCCTCCTCCTCCTCCTCCTCCCTCCTCCTCCCTCCTCCTCCTCCTCCTCCTCCTCCTCCTCCTCCTCCTCCTCCTCCTCTCCCTCCTCCTCCTCCTCCTCCTCCTCCTCCTCCTCCTCCTCCTCCTCCTCCTCCTCCTCCTCCTCCTCCTCCTCCTCCCTCCTCCTCCTCCTCCTCCTCCTCCTCCTCCTCCTCCTCCTCCTCCTCCTCCTCCGCGCGCACCTCGTCGCATCAGTCAGAGGCTCAGGGGACACCTCGCCCTCCGCGCCGTGGGCTCGAGGGGCGGGCGCGCAGGCGGGGCGGTGCCTCGGCCACGCACGGCCTCGGGCACCGAGGCTGGGGGAGGCCCTGGCGCTGCGCCCGGGTGCGGCTCGCGGGAGGGGCACCGTGGCCGAGAGGGATCTGCATCGCCGTCGGGGGGGTGGAGGGCGCGGTCTCGGCTCGCGGGAAGCACGAGGCGTGCCAGGACTCTCTCCTCCTCCCCCCTGCGGTCCGCCCAGAGCGTGACCGAGACGCGGCGGGGCATCGGCGCGTCTGGGGCGCGTGGCAGCCGGAGGCCCCGCGGCTCCCAGTCGAAGGTGCACAGGGACATGCCAGAGGTGCAGAAGCTGTGGACTCGCTCGCAGAAGGCCTCCAGGCTTTCTGGGGAGAGCCATCCGCTCACGGCCGACCCCGGCGGGCACGCCCCGAAGCGCGAGTCGAAGGCGGGGGAGGTGCCGAGGACGTCGAAAGTGGCTCCGTCGAAGACGACGGCCAGCTCGGACGGCTGCCGACGCGGAAAAGCAAGGTCGAGCGAACCCGCCTGCTCCGGGCGGCGGAAGCTGGGATCACCGTCGCTCTTCGCATCGCTGGCTCCGCCCTGGCTTGAGATGTCGAGCCCTCGATCGAGCTCATCGGAGACAGCCTCGACGGTCGGGCGCTGCTCTGGCCGCGTCTGCGTGCACTGCTCCACCGACGCCATGCACCAGTGCCAGCACTGCAGGCTCTGCAGGTCGTCGGGCCACGATGGAGGGAGGCCTCGATAGCGAGGTCGTCTTCCAGCGATTGTTGGAGGCCACGATCGAGGGAAGCCACTCTCTGTGGCAGCCGCGCCCCCGAAGGGCTTCGCCCCAGTGGAGATGAAGAACATCAGCAGGCCGACAGAATAGACATCCGCTGCCCTGTCTGGCCGATTCCCTCTCTTCCCGAAAAGCTCGGGGGCGCTCCACTGCGCGGTGCCGCCCATGGGCTCCGCCGAGCGGGTGAGCAGGCGCGCGAGGCCGAAGTCCAGCAGCTTCGCGCGCGCCACGGTGTCGCCGTGGAGGCACAGCTGCTGCACGAAGATGTTCGAGTCCTTCAGGTCACCATGGACAACCGCCGGGGTCCGCGAGTGCAGGTAGCGCAGCGCATTCAGAGTGTCGCACACGATCCGCTTCCGCTCGTTGAAGATAGCGGTGCTGCTGCGGGGACGGCGCTGCGGATCCCCCGCTCCGCCACTGCTGCCCGCGAGCTTGTGCGCCTGAATGAAGCGCCCCAGGTTCACACCGTCGATACGCTCGAGCACGAGGCAGAGTCGCACGAAGCTGTCGCCCAAGATGGCTCCATAAAAAAACACGATGTTAGGGTGCCGGAGCCGGCGAAGGATCCGCAGCTCGTTGCAGAGCGCATGGAGGCTGACAACGTTCGTTGCGAAGTCCTGCTGGGGCGTCTTTAGAGCGACGGGCGTGTTGTGGTAGACTCCTAGGGTCACAAGGCCGAACCCGCCTCTGCCAAGAACTCGGTCAGGCAGTGCCTTGACTTCAGTATCCTCGATCAGCCACTGCTCTCTGATACCAATTTCACGCAGCTTCGCCGAGCCGCCAGTCTGATCCACCTCGACGGGAAACGCCGTGGACGTCGTCTCCGGAAAAGAGCCCATCGCGGAGGTCGCCGCGAGGGTGTCCGTGCCGTTTGCGGCGCCAGCCGACTCCTGTTGAACAGCAAGCACGTGTTCGGCCTCGAACCTCAATTTCTTTTCAGACAGCAAGCTCTTGAAGAGGAGCCTGTCATTCAATTCACTATGCCGCTTTCCAACGGCCGCCAAAACGGCCAAACATACCGCAACGAGGGATAATATTGGGACGTCGTCCGGAGAGGGGCTGCTCCACACAAATATCGGCAGCCCGAACACAAACACCAGCGCAACCTCCACCGGGAACAAGAACACCCAACGGACTGGCGCCAGGTGCCCGACTGACGCACACAGATTGACAACAAGTAGGTTAACGCCGTCAGTGTATCCAAGATCGCGGCCCCATACTGCCTCGGTATTACCGTATCCAACAATTCTCGCGATGTAGTGGCGGCTAACACTGACCCCGACCACCATCATGACAACACTCGCAACAGCCGTGGTAATCTCCATACAAAAAACTACATTGCGCGGTGACAAGCAGCTGCGCTCCAACGCCTTTGCCACGATCAGCATCACGGCCACCACCGCCGTGCCGCCATAGAAAACTGCCGATTGCCACATTCTCACATCACTAGGCGCTTCAAACCGATCAGGACTCAAGGAAAAGACGCAGAGGATAAACAACCCAATCACCATGATGGAGATCCATTCACTTAGCCGCTGCTTCCTTGACATAACGAAACCCGTCTCAAGACCTGCGCTTTTGAACCTCAGAGTCAAGCGGCCCATCGCGGCCTCGTACTGCACCCGGCGGCAGGCGGGAGCCGACCATGGGGTAGACCATGCTGGCATTGATGAGGCCGATATGGCACGACCGACTCAGACGTGCTCGGATGAGCCCCCAACCCCTGAGCAGCCAACTTGAGCCAAAATGGTTACGGAGAACCCTCTTGGACCATCTTGGGGCCCTCACGGGGGCCTCTTGGGCCGTCTTGGGGCGATCTTGGGGGCCTTTGGGGCAATCTTTTAGCGTCAGAAGCCCGTACCGCCAGAACGCGGAAAACATAGAAAAGCACAAGGAAAATCACTGATGTGATCCCCTTTGGGTCCTCTTTGGGGTCCTTTTAGAGCGCCCTTGGGGTTTATAGGAAGCCTCTTGGGCCGTCTTGGGGCCATCTTGGGCGTCTTGGAACGATCTTTGGTTGCCTCGCCTCTTGGACCATCTTGGGGGCCTCCAGGGGCCGCCTAGGAAGCCTCTTGGGCCGTCATGAGGCCCCTTGGAAGCCCCGTGGATGCATCCTATGTACCATTGATATATGTATGCGTGCTCACACATGTGTAGAGACACAAGACGGAGAAGAAAGAGAGCTGCCACCCTGGCCTTGGTGCGAGGGCGGGCGGAGATGTTTAATCCTTTGGTGGGAAAAGGAAACGGCTTGCGCAAGCAATGGTGACTGCATCCGCGCGTGACCACCTCCAACGTGCAAGCAGCCCACCCCGCCCGCACCTGGCTAGCAATAACCAAGTGGGTGGCAAGATCCGCGGTGACGCAACAATGACGATGATGATGACGATGGTGTCAGTGAAGATGTTGAGGAAATGCGCAAGCGCGAAATGTCGGCGACGGCGACGACACCGATGATGATGATGATGACGATGATGATGATGATGATGATGATGATGATGATGACGGCGGCGAGAATGATGATGACGACGGCGAGGTTGAAAATGGCGACGGTGACGAAGACAGTGAAGACACTGACGATGATGACAACGATTGCGCGGGTGAGGGTGATGAGGAAATGCGCGCTTGCAGTACAACCTCGGGCCCAGCGCTATTGAAACTCAAATGGCACTTCGTGTGTATACGCCTCTGCATAAAAACGCGGTGGCGCTTTTCCATGCACGAACGAAAACAATGTTAAAAAAATGTCGGCGCGCGCCCGTGAACACGCGCGAGCGTAGCCCGCGGCGCGCTGCTCGGCAAAATTGGCGGGCGCGCGATGGCTGTTGAATGCGTTCGCCATGGGCGCCCGCGAAGCCCACACGGTATTGCTTGACAAGCTTGGCGTGCGCGAAATGGCTGTTGAATTGAATTCGCCTGGGCGCCCGCGTGGCCCGCGTGATCTCAAGTGACAGAAGCGGTAGACACACATGTTCTGGATGTCTGAGCGAATGCAGGAGCGCAGAACGCAGACAACCTCCCACGCTGCACAGCCCATTGCTGTTGATAGTGTCCGAATAAATGTGTCTTGAGACGGCGGGAAGACCAATGGCGCATTGAATAATTTCTACACGCGCGCGCGGCGATGCGCGCACGCTCCCCGCATGACATGCGCTGCAAAAGGTTGAGACCAGGATCGAGGGGCCCGAGTGATTTCTCCTCGAGGGCGCATTGAGCCAACATCTAGGCGGTAGCAACCTCATCTCCACGGTCTCGAGCTTTGCGCTACGCGCCGCCAGCCGGGAAAGCGATCAACACGTGAACTCTGAGCTCACACCACATGTTACACCCGCTCTATCTGGCCCAAAGCACACACACACACACTCTCTCTCTCTCACACACACACACACACACGGAAGGGTGGCGCATTATTCTGCCTGGTCCCGCGCGCAGCCCCAGCTTGGGGAACCCCGCGCACAGCAACACTCAACGCCACCAGGGCCCCCCAGCCCCTAGGCTCTCAATCAACCCAAGTTTCGAGCAGCTCGCGCTTGCCCTCGCTCGCGAACACCTCGCAAGAGTCGCATAGATGATGAATCTTCCACAGGCACCCCCTGCACCCCGAGCAATTCTGCGGCCTCCGATGCAAGATGGGCCGCGCCCTACAAGCCGCGGGAGCCGCCTGCCTGCTCGTTGTCCCGCTTGGTCGCGCGGCCGCGCTGCACTCCGAACGCGACGCGCGCGGCGAACGCCGCGGCGAACATCATCTTGTAGACCGTCGCCATTACCTGGGCCCAGACCTGCGCGCCATAATGGACCGCCGTCGCCCGGGCCCTCCCGGGTTGAAATCTGGCCACGCAAGTCTGCCCCGCGCACAGGCGCCAACAAACCGCCAAGGCACAGAACGATCCCCGACCCCACGTCAGATGAACCCCCGCTGCCCCTGGTCGCATCCGATCCTCCGACTGTCAGGACCTCGCCCTGCCCTGAGTCTCCGTTGCCCACCGCCGACTCGCGGCGCTCGAACTCCGCCCTGCCCAGGCACTTGGCGCCTGGTTTGCTCGAGCTGCTGGCCGTCGGCAACGATGCTCGCGCAACGCCATTCGCCCCTCGAGAAGCAAGCCCCAGGCCAACACGCGTTCGCGACGAACGCGCTTCGGCGCCCCGAGCCCAAGCCTGCTCTGAGATGAAAATTCCGCTGGCCATTCGGGCCCCAGCTGCCCCCCCACGCCGGCGCCTGGGGGCATCTCTTCGATCGCGCCCCCCACGTACAGAGCGCCACGCGCTCCGAAGCCCATGCAGTTGATCTTGGCATCAGCTGACGACGTTGCTGGACTCGCCTGAATCCTGCTGAAACTTGCCGCCGCTGCGCCCAGGTGGACGCGCCCGCTGCCGGTGCTTTTTTGGCTGATCTCGCCCCCTGCCGAGTCGCTGTCCACAGACGCGTCCAGGGATGCCGCCGCTGCGCGTCGGCGCGACGAAACTCGCCATGGCCCGCGCTCGCGGCCGATATCTGCCGGCCCTCACGAGGCGGGCAGCACCCCCAACAGCGGGCGCGCCCACGCCACTGCCGACCTCCTTCGCAGCGAACTGCACGTCGCACCTCTCGCCCGAGATGAAGAGCAGCTTCCCCGCGCCAGTTCAGAAACCCCTCGCGGCCTCCTCGCCGGGCAGCCCCTCATCATTACGTTTCGCCTCGCCCCTTGCCCCCGGCGTCGCCGCCGCCTCCTCGCTGCCAACACTCATCAATACCAATGGCCCGTCCACCGTCTTGGGCGCGACCCTGACATTGCAGCCCCGGCCGTCGACGCGACCTTCCCGACGCCATCTCCGGGGGGGCCAGGAACAGGAAATGCCGACCGAGACCACCCAGAAACTCACGCGGCCCCTCACCGCCCCCCAGCGCCAGTCCGTCGCCAAGGCGCCTCGAGACGATCGCGCGCACGACCTCGCCCACGCGCGCGCTGGCCTCCGACGCGGGCCCCCCGGCGCCCAGCTCGTTCACGTCGCTGTCGCCGCAGTGCGCATCGAAATCCATCTTCGCCTCGTGGAACCCGTACTGCAGGAGGCGCGCCGCGCCGCCTGCCCCCCGCCCCCACCCCCGCGTTCGCGACGCAGCACGCCCTGCACTCAGCCGGAGGCTCGGGCAACACCTTCTCACGGATTGGCGCGCGGAGGAACGCCCTCGACATGTCGAACAACTCCACCGCCCATCCCTCGATCGCCACCGGCGCTTGGAGCACTCTTCAAGTAGACGCCCCAGGAGTAGAGGCGCAAAGGAGAACCCTTCAGCTGGTGTGACGCGCTGAAGAGCCCGGCGCACATCCTCGACGCCACCCCCTTCCGATCGCGCCTCGTCGACACGCGTCACTGAAGGGAGCGGGCTGTCCACGCCCGACCGCGGGACGTCGATCGCCGCCCTGGGCTCCGCAAGATGAACCAACTCCGCGAACCTGGCGACTCGCGATATCCGCCTCTGTGAACGCTTCGTGATCACACGCCTCGTTCATCTGCTGGCCCCTCTCCTTCTCTGCCGGCTCCAGCCCCTCGACAGCGCTGATCGTCTCCGCGGGGACTGATTGATCTGTTTGGGCGCAGATCGTTCTTCGGCCCCCTCCGCTGGACGCTCGGGGCTTCCTGGCGCCGCCTTCGGCGCCTGCGGGCCGCGGAACCTCGCCCTGTCCGCCGCTGCTGCTGCTCGACGACGCTGCTGATCATCCAACTTCGATCGCTACTTCCATCGCGGGGGTCTGGGACCCCCTGCCCCCCCCCATCGTCGGCGTCGCCGTCGCCCTTGGAGTCTCGCGCTCGGGGCTCTGCAACGACGACGCCGACGACGCCGCCGACGCCGCCGCCGACGTCGGCGCCGGGGCCGCCGCCGCCGCGGCTCGCCCGCGAAGACAGGCCGCCGCCTTCGCCGCCGCGCACCCTGGCCACGGCGGCGCCGCCATCGGGCCGCCCAGCACCCCCCCCCCCCGAACTCCGTTCGCCGCAGCAAACGCGACTTCGCACGCGCCCTGGGCCGACGCGCCCTCCATTAGGGCCCGGTCGCCCGAGGCTCGGAAAACCCGGGCGGGCGCCTGGCCCGGGGTGCCTCCCGCCTACTTCGAGACGCTCTGGGACTACATCGGGAAGGCCATCGCAAGGCCCCCTTGCCCCAGAACAGCTCCTCAGGGCGCCTCTCGGCCGTTCGCGCCTCGATAGAACCCGTCGCCGCGCCCGCGACGCGCTCGTCGGCGCCCGCCGCCCCGCCGAGCCAGATGCCCCGCCCTGTAACCTCTGCACTGGATGGCGGGGCCCCTTCTGGTCTGGACGTTTCACCTCTTCCCCACGTCGTGCCCCATCGCTCTCGCGAGCCCCATCGACAACCTTGACCGACGCCTCCACTAGGCCATTGCTGGCACGACATCCTGGCGCCGATTGGCATAAGGATGTTATTCACCAGGTCCTTGCTGCCCCTGCTTCTCTCTCCTTCAACGCGCCCTTGCCAAGCGCGATGGTCGAAGGCTCTTCGCCGCTCTGTCGAGCCACCCGCGGGCGGCCGACATCGCCCAGGGGGGGCCAAAAACGCCATCGCACACGCCGACGGCCCCTTAGACATCAACCGGGCCGCCCCCGCGCGCGACGAAACGCAATCCTGAATCACGAGAATCGCGGCCGTCTCGGCGGCCGCCTCGGCGCCCGTCTCGTCGACGCCCACTGAGCAACAGTCAACGCCGAACTGGGTTCGGAGGACGCCCTAAGTCTCGCGCCGTCGTCGAC